AAAGAAATGCCAGTAAATGCACCAATACTTGGTCTGGGAGTTCTGGCTCTTTTGCATGAATTGCTGCATCAATGCAGCGTGGCATAAAGGTTATCAACAAGGATCTGCATTGATCTGGTATGGTTTTGGTGTCTCTTGTCAACATGTCGGAGATTCTCTATGGGGTTTAGGGCTGGTCAGTTTTCTGGCCAATCAAGCGGTAACATCATGGTCATCCAACCAGGCACTGGTAGTTTTGGATGTGTGAAAAGTCCTGCTGGAAAATGAAATTAGCCTATCCATAAAACATGGTGTGATCTAAACTCTAAAATTTTCTGGGAGACGGCTGAGCAGATGTTGAACTTGCTAAAATAAAGCACAATGCAGATGACATGGCTCCCAAAATCATTGCAGACTGTTGAACCTCCACAATAATCCTCGAACTTCCAGGAATCTGTATTCTCCACTCCTCCTCCAGGCTTTGTGATCTTGATTTCCATAAGAAATCCAAAACTTACTGTGATCTAAAAAAAGGGCTTCGGACAACCGAGCAACTGTCCGGTCCTTTTTCTACTCAGGTACGACACTTATGACATTGTCTCTGTTTCAGGAGTGGCTTAACTCAAGGATGCGACAGCTGTAGCCCATGTTCTGGACATGTATGCATTTGGTGGCTCTTCAAGCCGTTGCTGCAGCTGAAATCTCCTTTGTACACCTCTCATGACCTCTTTAATATGTTTTGTTTAATGTCCTCACAATGCTTGGCTATCCCTGTTGCTAATGGACCTTTGCTCCTAAAACATGTTTTCCTTCCTCTGAACTTTCATTAATTCACTCGGATACAGTCAGCTTCTTTACTGAAAAGACACGGTTACATATGCAGGGTGCAGGTCACCGTCTGCTGGACAAATGTCAAATCCACAGTCTTCCATCCACTGTGTAGGCCATAACAAAATATTTTTTTTATGATAAAACTCATTTTTAAATTTGTCTGGTAAGATTCCAGCTTTGTGGGAAATTGAATTTATTCTAAAATATCCATGTCCTTTATTTGTATTGAAATACTTAAATAAATCTACTTTTAGATGATACTAGGATTTACTCAGACATCAGTGTAGACTGAAAAAAAAAACCAGACTTATTCGACTCACCTTAATTTTATGGACAGATTTGCCCTCCTCCAGCACCTGGGTCCACACCGTGATGCCCCCCTTGGTGTAGGTCATGGTCCAGCCCTCTTCGCACAGGCACTCCGCCTTGAAGCTGGCGAACGCCCTGTCGTCCGGAATGGTCACTGTCTGTCCAGACATGGCTTGTTGCCGAGACAAGCTGCGGGAGGAGGAGACTCTCACTGGAAAACACAGCTTTATGTCAACAAGAAATCAAGAAACCGAAGATATTACCTCCTCTTCTGTGGCAATAAGTTGTTTGATTAATTTTCCCCCGTGCAGGAAGCGTTTGTAAGGCAGCACCGCGTCTTGTGATGCTCTCTGTAAGCGTGTGTGCGCGCGCGCGCGTCCTGGCAGGTCCAAACACCGCAATCCTCCTTGAACAAACTAATGAAACAGAGGTGTGACTGACACAGGTGAGCACACAAAGCTAAAGCGAACAAGTTAGAGGGGAAATGACATGGGCGAATATTATACCGGTGGCTGAAGAAGTTTCTGTCCGCTTCTGCAGTCCTCAGTAAAATAAACCGCCTTTCTGTTCAACCATATGTTTCTGTCTTTCCGCTTGTCACCCCTTCTTTCTGCCTCTTCCCAGCTCTGTGGTCCACCTTCCTGATCTTCACTCCTCGTTGTCTCCCCCTTTGCCTTTTCTTTCAAATGTTTATTCCGTCAGTTTACAGCAATTAGCGGAAGGTCTCCATGTCTGCGGTACAGCTGTGGCAGGTGGTGGTGGTGGTGGAGATGCAGGCAAAAGAAATAAAAGGAAGCGGGAGGAGGAGGAGAAACCGAGCGTCGCAGGGAAAGCTACATTGAAATTGCACCTCCCCGTGTTACCTTCAGGTGCTCCTCGTAACGCTCACAGCTCCACATGCATATGTGTGGCGTTTAGATGACTAGATTAGAAAAACGCTTCAGGTCAAAGCTAAACAGTTACAGTCATGGCACTTTAACTCTTATTGTTAGATTAGTTTGGAAAGCATTTTCTTTTCTGAAAACTTTTTATTCGGTCTGGAAAGTTGCTTGCTTGTTTGTTTTTTAATGCATGAAGCTCAGCCTCACTTCTGAAGTGGTGCTTAAGCTGCTTTCCGAAGCACATATGGAATTTGATATTATCTGCAAGGTTAATTGGCCATAAAAAGAAGCTTTTTTTTCTGACTTCACGTCCATTTGAATGCTGTTTCAGTTAAGCAACAACTTAATTTAGCTTGTCCAATTAAACTCATATGTAGTAGACAACATTTTAGAGAAATGCAAGACCAAAATTAGCCGTATTTCATTTGCTTTTTAACTTTGGAAAAGCCTGCCCCCTGTTGGCTTCTCTGGGAAGGATTTCACTGTTTCTATGGAGTACAATTAAAGTATTTAAATGTATTACAATGTAGTATTTTGTCTCTTATGTCTTTATTTACTATTTTTATTCAGTTGCGTTACTATAAATCATTTTTTTATACACCCCTTTTCTCTCTCCATGGAATTTTAATGCTGTACCACCAAATATTGCTAATTTTGCAAAAGACTGCAGTGTTTTGCTAAAATGTGTGGTTTATTTTTGTCTTCAGTCTGCCTAACCAAAAGTTGTTTAGAGTCACAGAAGCTACATAGACCTACCCCTTAAATTTTTTTAACCTATATTTACAATATCTATTAGATTTTTTTCAGTATTTTTAAATGAAAGAAAAACTATTTCATTTTTGGGTGTGGGTTTAAAATAAAAAGTTAACTTTCACACTAATGGGGTATGAAAGCATTTCCTTTTACATAATGTTCAAACTTAACTGAAAACATCAAAAATAATACTTAGTTTGCAACCTAAAGACAAAAAAAAAAAACTTTACAAAAAATATTACAAAAGTTGCTACTAGAACAAAACTCCAAAGGCTAGCTCTTATTTGCTGCTTTCATATTCATATATATATATATATATATATATATATATATATATATATATATATATATATATATATATATATATAATTGGTTATAATTTTTGGGCAAAGGAATTAAAAATTGGAGAGTCTGAAGAGCCACTTGTGGCTCCAGAGCTGCAGGTTGCAGTCCACTGGACCAGAGAATTAAGGAAAGTTTTTAAAGTTAAAAACAGGGTTTCTTTTAATAAATATTCTGTGACATCGCCTGTGGTTCCTATTGGACCTCTAACATTTTGGGAGATAGGTCTTTTAAATATCAATCTGCTAGAATTATCTGCCAGACAGTTTAGGTTTTAATGACAGATATCCATTTTCTTTTGAAGATTTTATTGAAAAACTTTTCCTTAAAGATCCTTCATCCTACAAAGTCCATAGTTTACTCAATACTTCCACTGCTTTGTGAGAATTGCATAAAACCACAGTGCCTGTCATATAATGTCAGTTGCTCATGCCAATTCAGTTTTTCTAATTGTAGAACCAAATGCACGAATGTAATAATGGCCATTAACTACACCTGCCAACTGCTCAGATAAGCTCTTTTCAGGAACACGCTGTTTTGGCTCACAGGGACAGCCTTTTGCAGAAGCTGATCTATTCAGTAGTGGGAATGCAGAGTGTCATAACAGATGTGTTTGCTGGAGGGAATGAATGTCAAGTATCCATGACGGCAAACCCACACTGACACATCTGAAAGGTGCCTGCAGATTTATGCTGGCAGAGTATGTTGTTCTCGATGATTCATGTCTGCAGTAAGTCTATTGCCAGCACACAATTTAGAACATTATACTCCACAGAAGGAAGTCCACTGAGGCTTATATTCTGAGGCAAAAAATATGTGTGCTTAGTTGGAGAGGGCTAGGTTTAGAAAATGCCCACCAGTATAACCTGGGATATCTAAAAGAAATCTCTGCATGACTTGTTTCTGATTAATTGTATCTGTATAGTGCTTTCATAGTAAATTCATTAGAGCATTTTTATGCACAGCAGAATCAAATCAAATCTGTGACAGGAAGCAATCAGATAAGAAAGCACGTTGATGCTATTTCAATCAGATCATGATAATAGGAAGTGCCTAAGATATACCGCATTTCCTCTTAAGTTTGAGCTTTAGATCAGTCATCTTTGCATATGGTATTGTGATCCACCGTTTTTCACAGAAGCTTTTTAAAAAAACAAATTCCATAAAACTTGATAAATAGTCATTTTGATTGTTCTAATAAACATAAATTGTGATGTACAAACTTTATTGTTTATAACGTTTATCCTTGCAGGTTTGTGAAGGGGCTGGTGCTTATCTGCAGTGGTCATGGGTGAGGGGTAGCGTACAGCCTGGACAGGTCAACAGTCCATCACCAGGTAACACAGAGATGCACCTTAACAATTGTAATTTGGCGCCATCTGGTGGTGTTCGTACTCAACGTTCACTGTACTGTAATACAAAATTGTTCATTTCAGTTTAAAAAAAAAAGCAGCACTCGCATAAGGTAATTGAAGTGAGTCCTTAAAATCAAAACAAATATGTCTCTGTTCCATCTGTCTCTTCAGGTCAAAGAATATACAGTTTTAAAGATGCCATAGAATGTAGGAACGTATTTTTATTATTATTTTAATGAGTAACATTAATTTAAGACTTGCCCATACATAACAAAAATAAATGAATGTTCGAAATATTTAACTCTAAATACAGTTTTACCTATTAAAAAGTCATTAACACACACAGTTAATTATTTTTCAATCCCATTAATGTAATTCAGATTTATCCATGCCTAAAAAATTTCCCCTCCAAAATGGATACTCCACTAGGCAAAACTAAAACATAAAAAAAGGTTCAGAGACCAAGCAGGGCTCCCTATGGTAACATTTCATTATGACCGCCGCTTTGCTACATTTCTGGGAGAACTACATTTCCCAGAATGCACAACATCCAGTGACGTAAAGGCTAGGATGAGGTTAAACGGCTATTTTCGGCTTACTACCTGACTGTAAGCAGAAGAACGGTGGCAGCTACACCTGAACCAACGCGGCGTTTTTCAACTCAGAGTGTCAAACTAATTACGGGTCGCTCTCTCACTGAGGGTTTCATCTACCTCATAATTTTTGGGTGAGTTTATCGCCATGTTATCATCCGTTCCTACCAGGCTGCTGACGCGAAGGTCGCGCAGCCTGTCACCGTGCGGTCGCGTGCTCCAGACCAGTGCCAGTGGAGCCACAGGTCAATGTTTCCGCGAAACACAGGCGGAGACCAACCGAAACCCTATCGTATCCACGTCCCGTGTATCCAGGAGGGGGATTTTGTCTGAAGAGACTGCTGTTACCAGCGTGAACCCATCGGTGCAGTACCACCACCTCGCCCCAAGATGGCTGTCAAACCTGGAGAACCGCCGTAGCTCCTGGGCGGCTCTGGCCAGTAGAGGGCGCCAAAATAACCAGTATTGGGAGGACAGCAGACAGAGTGGTGGGAGTGAGAGCCGGGGTACAGGTGGGGATGCCAGCCGAGCAGGACTGGCCTCAGCTGGTGTGCTGTCAGCCGCAGCAGTGGCCTTCTGCCTCAGGAAAGACTCCGATAACAAAGGTATACACGCGTTAAGCTGCCGTGTTCTCAATACTGCACATAAGTACACTGAAAAGTTTAAAAAATATTGTAGAAATACAATTAACTGCAATAACTGGTCATACACACTCTCTACTGTGTACTAATGTTATTGTTGTGCTTTTGAAATGACCAGATGATTCTCTTCTTGAGGCAGCAAGAACCAACAATGCACAGGATGTGTCCAGGTACAGCACAAGTTCACACACAAACACTCACCTGGTTTATTGTACATTAATAAGTCATTAGCATTATTTCAGCTACTGGTAGCAAAATATACAAATTTGTCTCAGAATCTCAGAAAATATTAAGAGAATTTGCCATTTATTTGTCTTTCTTAAATTAGTGTTTCGTAAAGTCTCTTTATAGTTTACATCTTTGAAAAGGTCTTTGTGACAGCATCATACAACCACTGAAAACTACACTCACGCTATCACTTGGATCCTTCACGGGATGTTTTATTTCAACAAAATAAATGATAAGCTGTATTTCAGCTATTGGTATAAAATATAGCTGTAAAATCATGTTGAATTGGAAACTATTACTACTAATAATAAATCAATAATTGTTTGGTGTAACTTTGTAAAACTACAATAATCTTGAGCCATTACTAATATCACTTCTTGTTTATATGTGGTAATTCAGATGTTTTTTTTTTTTATTTTCACCTCAAATTTGCAACCTAAACTAACAGATTTGTTTAAAAAATGTATGATTTCTCCCATTCTTTGTGTTTTTTTTGCCTCAATTACACAATCTTTTAAGATTGTTGATTGATATCTTCTATTACAGCTGTGTCGTGATACTTTTTAACATCAGTGAATCCCAAAAGTATAATTTCTTCAGAATTTATTTGAATCACATGAAATGTTAGTATTTCTCCAGCTGAACAAGTAAAAAATTGAGGGATTTTGTTTTGTTCTGAATAGCTTTCTCAAACCTCTGTTCATGTTCTTTGTACTCATTAATTAATAAAACTGTTTTGTCACTTTCACATTCAAAGGTTTTACATCAGTAAATAGCATTTGCTTCCTTGCTTCTTCTTTTTTGTAGGGAAAACATAATCAATAAAACATAATTGCTTTGCAACATTTCTTTTGATGGGAAAGTAATTTTTAATTTCACCAGGAATTTCAAACATATAATTTCACTTCTCCTTTTTGAATTCTGAACATGCTCATTGGATGTGATCTTTGCAGCGCAACGCAATGTGTTTGCCACATTCAGCCTGTATGGTCACAAATAAAATGCTGTGTGGACAGTTTCCAGAACAGTCAGGATCATCTACTGTTGTCAAAGCCGATTCTAAGCTGTTCTTCAGTTGCAGAGCTATGACAAACCACCAGGTGGCAGAGTAGGACCATCTGTTTCTGCAGGAAACGTTCTTAGGATGGATCTCAAACTTTAGGGTTTTTTCCTCTTACTTTTGTGAAAAGTAAAGTAAAGTAAGTGTTGTAATGCATTAGTAAAACATTTTTATAGATCTTAGTCAGATTTATTTTGCAGAAAATTGCTTTAAAATACCAATTATAAGATACCAAAAATAATAACTAATGCACTTTTTAAATTTGCTGGTCATGTTAATCTGACTTCCTATCATTTATTCATTTATACATTATATTCATATAAGGATACTATAAATGTTTATCTTAGAGCTGGCTGTGTGTGTTCTGATTCTGGTTGGTATCTAAATCCCCGTATCTGAGTGTGTGCATAATGTGTGTCTCCACTTTCAGGCTTGGGTTACCTGTCCACATGTGGCAGATGGTGTAGGTGAGAGTGCAGGGAGTCAGCCATTCAGCAGGTCACAGATGTGTTAAGTGCTTTGGTTGAGTTATCAGAAGTGGTGGAGTGTCAGGGTGTGTCTACTGAGAGGCACTCTTTCAAATCGAGGTCTGCTTTTTTAAAGGCTTTTAAAATGTCATCACTGCATAAAGGTTTGTTCCTTAACTTACTTAACTCCATAGTTACAAAAATACATTTTGCATACAGACATTTTAAATACAATTTGTGCTGATGGAAAAAAATATTCCCTTTTACATATATTTTGATGTTTGTTTACTCTTGGAATTATTGCCTCTATTTGGACCGTGTAGTTACAGAACTAAAAGGTAGGTTCTGGTAAGACACATGCAACATGATTCTTCAGCAGTAGCTTAACTCGATGCAACATTTAATGGAAGATGTTCCTGTGCAATCTGGAAAAGTATTGAATTTGAGTATAAAGTCCATATGTCCATCCATCTGTGCCTCCATACATCCACGCTTTATCTTCACAGTAATGTTAGCATACTTTTATGGTAACGTAGGCTTAAATAGGCCTGATGACTAGAACATTTGACTTTGAGAAAGTTTGGAATTTTGATCTGAAAAATCGATAGAAACCTTTTCATCATTGGTGTCAAAATCCAGTCCTTGAGGGCCGGTCTCATGTAACTCTTAAATGTCTCGGCTTCAACACACCTGAGTGGATTAATGAGGTCATTAGTAGAACTAAAGAGTTTGACTGCATGCAGAGGAGGTAATTCAACCATTTGATTCAGGTGTGTTGAACTAGACACACATCTAAAAGTTGGAGGACACTGGGCCGAGAGGCCTGCTGTTTGACATCCCTACTTCAGTTTGACTTGGTATATTTTTAGTGAGATCGAATTTATTGATATTTACTGTAGATTTCAATTGCATCACAAAGTACAATTTCTGAAATATGGGAAAATAAAATGGCAAATGGATTGAATTTATATAGAGCCTTTACCAGTTGTACATTCGCCTCAAAGTGATTTACACTACAGTGACTGTCACACTAACCAACATGTACACATTATTACACCGACTGGTAGGCAACCTATGGTTAAGTGGGTTACCTACTGACACATCAATACATGAGAGCAGAAAGCTGGAATCAAGTTTACAACCTTCCAATTGCAAGACAACCACTCTACCACTGAGCTACAGTTGTGCATAGTAATACCAATTAGGCTTCAAGAAGTCCAATTTATCTAAAGTAGATTTTGGTCCAGTGCCGTATTCTTTTTTCAGTGAGATTAAATTGTTTTAGCTTGCCATCCTGGCTCCGCCTTTAACTTTTAAGATCTGTGCATTCTGGCTGGAGCCAATCTGCAGCTGCAGCATCAACCATTAGATCTGTATCCTAACCCTGCTACCTCATGCAGAACAGGCAGTGAAAACAGAGCCAGAGCGAATCGGAGCTGAGTGCAGACCAGAAAGAGGCCACCGTGTTGACTGTAAACACCGACACTGCCTGTCTGATCGGCACGAGACGAGACAGGAGGATTCCTTACACAGTCACATCCAGGGGGACAGTGGCACCGCAGCACCTGATGGTGTACCCTGAGGCTAAACCACCCCCAAACACACACACCTGGTCTGGTCATAGATACATTAACTCGTCAAGACTGGGATAAGAGTGTCTTATGAACAGCCCGTCTTTATTACGGCATTTCGCCTAACTTTATTCTTATTTTTATATTTTTCTCTTCAAATCTTTTAGTACGTGTTAAAATTGGAAGAGTTTGTGTTGTGTTTTGCTGTGTCTACTCCCATCTACAATCTTCTGTCATGGATAATATGACTGTAAAATAAAACTTTGTTTTTTTTCCCCTCAGGCTAATAAAAGAAGGCGTGGATCCAAATCATCGTCACCGGCTGGGATGGACCGCTCTCATGGTGGCTGCAATGAACAGACAGCACAGGTCAATGACTGTTTCTGCCATCTTAAGCTCCTGAATAAGTTGCGTGTTTTAAACTTCTGACTCGCCTCCTTTTGTTTGCACACGTAAGAGTGATGTAGTGGTTTAGAGTAAGACAGCTGCCAGTGTTGGTTACAGTGCGAACATATGTCATCCGTGTTCCTGCTGAAGTTCTTACTGTTAGATCTTCAGGAGTGCAAAGTGCAACTTCCAGACTGACAGACGGCATTTACCCGTACCCCCATCCTGCTCCCCTGCAAATTAAATTAGCCTCCTGGCCCACAGAAGACGCATAACACAGAGAGGGGCTGAGGTTAAGGCCGGGCCAAATCCAATTTAACCAGACTTTCTTTCTTTCGTTCTTTGCTCCATCAGGACTCTGAGGTCACTTTACTGGTTAAAGGGTCTCCATGAGGGAGAAGCATTATGTGAAATCTGAATATGAAAATGGCTGCAGAGGGACTTGGTTTGATGGACAATAGTAACAAGTTTTATTGCCCTTGATTTGAGATTCAGAAACATCTGAAACAAAACATTTTTCATGGTTTCTAACATATTTAAAATAACTAATCAGATGACACGCTTTGGCTGTTATAAGTGGAAGCACATATTTAAAAAATATACATATTGTAGTAGTGGGACTTGATAAACATGTTAGTCGAGTTAATTGCAGGGTTTGTAATCAAAACTGTATACTGAGAAACATTTTCCATTCAAAAATCCCTTTTGCTGTTAAATTATTGAATAAATAGACATATGAGCTCATAAATACTTGTTTTGTTATTTAGTTATTTGACCATCAGATTGATGCAAAGTGCTATTAAAACATTCAGTTTTCAAGTGTTTTAGGAACCCCAGATCATTTGTAGAGCTTCTTTGAAAAAATACATTAGAAATGTAGACTGTGGTTGCTGGCATTATTTTTTGGGGGCGTCTGTGCTTTCTACAACATATTTTGAATTGATATTTTAGGCTCGAATAGCTTTTGGTAATAGGCCAACTCCTTTCTGCGTACAACAATAGCCTTTTCCAATATCCCATCAGATCGTCTTTTAAAGCAAAAATTGGCAGAAAAAGAACTAAATTCGCAAAACAAAGCAACTTTGTCATCCATTGCTGTTTTTTGTGGATATCACTTTTGCGTCAGATTTATGCGTTTACCAGATACAAGCAGATGCATAAAAACTTTGTATGAAACGGAGAGAAAATGCAAATGAGTTTAAAAAAATTAAAGTAATTAATCAAAATTAACATATTAAAGTCCCAGACTTTGTTTCCTGTCCTGCTGCAACATCTATCTGTCTGCCCATTCATCAGTTTGTACATCATCCATCCCTCCACCCATCCACCTCTCCTTTTATTCTAGAGAAGACTTTTGAGGTAAAAAATGTGTTTGTGCCCTGTATTCAGATCTCTTGTTCTGGCTGTTTGTAGCTGGATAACATATTGATTGTGTGTCACTTTGTGTTTAATGACACGACTCTTGGTGTGTCAAATATTTTTGGATACAAATTTGATTGTCTGCGTCTCTCCACCCAATGTCTGTGTGTCACTGTAGGTTCTGTGTTTGCGTGTGTGTTTGTGTTATGAGCGCTATAACTCAGCAAGACAGACACTCCTCTGTGTTTAATCCAGGCCTCCAACCCCCCAGTGTGCCGTCACTGCTGCAGGGAAGACAGAACATTGGTCCTCGCGCATCACTCATATCGAACACACAGACACCCACACACACTTTATGTGCACTCACATAACAGCCACACATAAGCAAGGAAACAAGGGGAGGTTATACCAAATATCTTACAGGCCAACTGCCTATTACTCAGCCACACACAACTTTATTTGCAGCTGTTAAGTGAAAACACTAGAAACATTAGTCATGAACAAGGTCTTGCCTGTAGCCAGAATGTCAGTTTTTATCGCATTCTTGAGTTACTCTGTTCTTCACTTGCAATGTTGTTGTTTTTCTGGACTTGAAGTGGTTTTTGGAGCTAAATATTTCCAGGATTTCACCACTTAACTCTCCTAGTTAAAATGTTGGAGTGAGTAGTATCCAAAATGCAGCCTTACTTGTATCCAAGGGTTTGGGCGTGGCTTTTGGAGGGAGTTATGGAGGAGTTAAGGGTAAGACATCGGCTGTGGGGGGTGTGTGTGTTTGCTTAGCTTTGATGTAGAATTAAATCGGGGAGGCGTATGGCCTGAACCTCTGTTTGCACTCTTTAACACACAATACACATCTCCATCTCCCTTTCTCTTCCTCCGTCCCTCCCTCACTGCATTCACGTGCACAATAAGGGCTTAGCCAAGTGTAACGCCTGTTGACCATTCCAACCTGCCGGCCAAATGACTGGCTGGGTGGGAGTGGGAGAGAAACGAAGCAGAGGAGTAGGGGAATGAGTGTATGAGTGGGCTTGTGAGAATAGAGAGGGATTATGGTTTTGGGACTAAGTTTTGGTCTCTATAAAACTTAAGCTTTTGTCACATAATCATATACCATATTTTGAACATAATTTCAGACGTGTCTGCCAGTGTATAACTTTTAAAGGAACATAACGCTGCACTATTTAAGGGTTATGACTTAAGATTGTTTGGAAATTGTACTAATGTCATATTAAGCAGATAGTGCTTCTGGAATTGTTTTATTTAAAGCTCAATTTTTCTTAACTGATTTTAGAAGAAAAGTTGCATCTTCTTGAATTCTTATGGGTTTTGCAATTTTTAAAACAGGCGATGTGTTTGACTAATTCTGCTTGTAATTTACAGAAAAACATACTCAGATTTAGTCAACTATCTGTCTGATGTGATGCTGTGAATGGCTGGATGTGCTTCGTTGTTTGCTGAAATTTAGCAACAAATACTAATCAAGTGCAGAGAAACAGTTCACGTCTCTCTGACCCCAGGTACGAATTGGGTAAGGGCGGGGTCAAGTGAGGTCCAGCTTCTGGTCCAGGTGGTTTGAGACATGGATGGTCAGTTCAGCTCCGGTGTCTGGTTATAGAACAAGGAAGGCGGAAGTCTTTGTTTCCCGTCTTCCCTCCAGGGCTGGATAAAACACAAACACCAGCCATCGTGTCTGGCTGCCCCTCACCTGGCCGCAGAGCTCAGGGAGAGAATATTAGGCGCAACAGGACTTTACACCTAACTTCTTGATTTTTGAGTAACGATGGATCATCACAATGAACCACAACTACCAAGTAGCACTGCAACGCGCGAGCGATCCATCTCTCGTTTCTTTCCAACAAAATTAAAAAAATAAAACCACAAACGCAGCATAAGTGACTTGCTAAGCTTTGCCAAACAGTCATTGCATGGACATTTTATTGAACAGCCTTGTGTACACTAGAGGCTAATAAAATACTGATTCTTACATTGGCTTTGACTGCACTGCTAAATCAAACATAACATTTAAAAGAATAAGGTTGGTAGATAATTTACCTTTTATATGAGGTTCTGTCCTTTTAACATTGCAGTTAAACCTAATTAACCTTTTCATGTCTTTAGTTTGGGCTCAAATTAGAGCTGTAACTCCTCTCCTGACTGTCTGAAATAAACTTAGACACTTGATCATCAGTTGATTAGTAAAACTATAAACTGCTTTTAAAAGCTCATTAGTTTTAGTACTGTCCTGCTTAATTAAATCTCCATCCCTTTTTTCTCTTTAGCATTGTTTTCTTCCTTTTATTCCCTCCTCATCCTTCTCTGGAGTTTTCCTCTCTTTATCTTCCCCTGTGTTTACCTTTGTTATACCATTAAACCTATTCAGACCATCTCCTCTCTTCACACAGCCCTGCCCACCCTGGTGTGACCAAACTTAGTTTGAAATTGTGTCAAAAGGCGTCTTCCATGTGTTTGTAGAAGTGCTTGCAAGGATGAAAGACGCCCTCTGTAGGTCATTCTCCCCATCCCCACCCCAAGCAACATTGATACAGTAACAAAAGGAGAGTTTTTATAAGCCTTTTGCCAAGTCAAATGCAAAGACCTGTCCAAAAGGTTCACCCCCTTTTTACTCTGCATGTTTAATTTGTTCTTCTATTTTAGTACAAATAACCAGAAGTACCCATGATCCAGATTTTATGAAAAAAAAACAACAACAAAAGATTAAGCTTGAAAGCAGATAATGCTTCCAGAACGTTTGTGTATTTAAAGTCATTGTAAACCTAAATTTCAATGCCATCATAATCTAAAGAGGTGTGGTAGACTGGTTGATTAGAGAGAAATATTAAAATTTTCATGGGTTTAGGCCTAAGTTTTTTAAATAATATTTGGTAGATATTTTAAATATAAAACTTAATAAAATGATAAAAATCCATACGGTGTAAAAGTCACACAATTAGGTTTAGGGTCATCTCTTATTACTAAGCATCTACTTCTTTTTTGTTATATGGTCTAAATAAATTCTGCACTATTTTGCAGAAGAACCCCGAGGCCGTATTCATAAACATGTCCAAAGTTGAATTACATTTTAAGGTTTGTTACTTGGTCTTAGTCAAAATTTTAGTGTCAATTATTGTATAAATCATCCATCCATTGTCCGTTCTTCCTTCCTTTCTTGCTTTGTTCCTTACATTTTCTATATTCAAAGTCTTATTGCGGTAAAATAGTCAAATTTTATATTAACACCTAACAAATTTGAGTTGTGTGTAGGAAGCTGCAGCTTTACACAATCATGGCTGCAGCAACACACATTCAGGGGTGATGTTTTTAGCCACCACCCCACTCATGCTGTGAACCCTGTCAGCACACATTGAGAATATTTTTGTTTTTGTGTGCTCATGCGTAAATATGTGTGTCTCAGGGTCAAAGCCAATGCCCACGTTCATGGTAAAGAATAAAAGTGAGCTTAGATGGAGAGATGGTACCTGAAATATCCGCTAGGTCACAGTCAGTGGTGTTGCTGAGGTGGTTGTTTGCTTTAAAAGGCGGTACGCTCCAGTGAAGGGCTACTACACACACATTCCCACCTCATCACACAGGCCCCCATCAGTGCCGGAAATGGGCCCGACCCTTGCCCCCTCACTCTGCACATATGTATGTGTTACAAGACATACAAATGTGAACCGAAGAAGAAAAAAGAGGAAGTAGCCATTGGGGTGAATCCACCATGATGAAATAGATAGAATACATGGAACCGAATCAGGCGAAAGTGTTATGGTCAGTTTGACAAACTGAGCATTTGCATGTTTCTGTGTTTTGATATCTGAGGAAGAAAAGGTCACGATGGAAAAAGATGAGAAGTCTGGTATTCCATCTGACTTTCCTAAGAAAACATGGATAAGAAGTCACATTGTTTATGAACGTGTTGTAAGATATGAATATGGAAAAAAAAATTAAAACTGTGGTTACACAAAGTCACAGAAAAATTACTCAGACATAAAACTCTATCATGAATTCAACCCATTAATTGTTGAATTTTAGTTGAAAGTGCTGCTGTGGATTCAGATTTAGCACGATTTTAAAAACTTAGAATTCAACATATTACAACACTAAAGTGTCTCAGTGTTTAAAAGTTAAGTGGCTGCTGGTCATAATAAGGCTGCTAATACGTACCATTAGGTCTAATATGGGATTCTCGTTAATTTGTTGCCAGTTTTTTTTTTTTTTTTTTTCGTCTTTATATTTAGAGAAGACGAGGAGATAAAAGACTTTTTGCTTCATTCTTACTCAACTGAACAGTCAGGCAGAGGATGCAACACAGCTCGAACAATTTTGTTGAAAAAGGATGGAAAAAACAAACTAACTTCCAAATGTGACTAAAACATAAAAGGTGAGCAGAAATCTTCAAGGAGATGCCTCTTGATGTCTAAATGTAGTTAGAGAATGCTGATCAGAAGGGGATAAACAAGCCTGACTTTCAATACGTCTCTTTAGGGAAACATTTAGATACGTCTGTCCAAACTGAATCAACCAAGAAAAACAAATATCCATGAGCATCCGGTGTTTACAACATGCAATTTCTTTAAATGGTCAAACCTGTTTAGTGAATGGTTAGTGACTGATTTTACATTACATAAGGTTTTTATGTCTTCCAAATAGAGCAGTCTTGCTTTCTGGAAATGATGTCTTTGTGTCCTGAGCCTAAAACAAAATCTCTGCATTCAGAAATTAGGAAGCAGAAAAGAAATGTGTCCTTTCTTCAATTCTTTTTCAGTGCTGTGAAAGCTCTTCTTGAAGCCGGAGCCGACCCGAACGCCGGCGACGACTTCAACAACGTTTATGACACCTCAAGGGAGAAAGGCATCCACTCTCTGGAAGGTAGCAAAACTTCACAGCTGCCTTCTTGTGTGTGTGTGTGTGTGTGTGTGTGTGTGTGTGTGTGTGTGTGTGTGTGTGTGTGTGTGTGTGTGTGTGTTGTTTTTATTACACACGCTAACCTGTAGATATTATGAGACGTAATAATTTGCATAAGAATTTACATTTATGCACATGTTCGATTCCTTCTGTATTATTTATTTTATATATTCGGTGACAACTAATGTATTTTTTATTTGTTTTTGTTCCAAGCTACTCAGTTACTCACACAAATGCATGCATGAGGGTGCACACACATATGCAGCGACACTTTACCCCCCACCATCCAGTCTGTGTTGGGTTTCTGCAGACATATTTATACGGGATATGTATATTGCAGACATTTATATGGCTGTCAGGTTTGGGTCCACGTGGGGCCGGCGTAGCGTGGGGAAGCGTTTCCCAGACGCTCACTGATGGATGGGCTAGGGGGGTCTGTGCGACGCTTTATTGGGTTAGCCATGATTATCCCACCCTGTGTTTCACGCACACATGCACACACTGCAGAAGGAGACTATCAGAGAGGATGGGGAAGACTGATGAAGCAAGGAAAGAGGGAGAGAGGAAGGCACTGAAAGAATAAGGATGAAAAGAAGGTTAAAGATGGAGGAGTAGGAAGATGTGGATGTTTAGGGGGTTGCAGGGAATGGGGTGGGAGAAAGATACAAGGAGTGGAGAGGAACTCTGGAAATGGATGAGGCAAAGTTATAAGGATGGAGGGAGGGGAAGGTGATGAAAGATTTTGATGGACACAAGAGGAGAGGAAAGAGGCAGAGAAAATAAAAATGGATGATGCAATAGTGGCAAAAGATGAATGTTTTTATGAAACACAACTAAGGACAGAGTGATAAAGCATCTCCATTATTACAAAAGAACAGAGAAAGAAATCTCCTAATACATAACCTGGACTATACTATGGTGTTAGACAGTGGAGATAAAATTTGGGGGGGCGGAAATTGCTAGATAAAGAAAGATCTTCTAGATTCTGGTTCATTATCTCTTCTGTCTCCATATTTATATAGTGCTGGTATCCAGAGAGGATGAATTCAGCAGCAGGCTCAGCAGCAGGGCTGGTTTCCGTGGCTGCACCGCGCTGCACTACGCCACACTGGCTGATGACCCACTCGCTGTCCGCTTGCTGCTGGAGGCTGGTAAGTTGATACTCCCAACCTCAGAAAACCTGTTAGATTATATCCCAGAGACCAAGGAGGACCTCAGAGTTATGAGGATCCCAGAAAGTCAAAGTGTTGAAGATTTTGGTATACAGTGCCCTGGTCAGTTCAGCCAAAATTCGTACTTTATGTTTACATACAGAGTCTTCTGTTTGGTGGATAACTTAAAATATTGAACATGCCATCTGCTCCTGAAAGCATAGTGGTGGCAGCATCATGTTGTGGGCATGGTTTCCGTTAGGAGCGCCATCTTCAGGAGATGATCAATCCTGAAAGGAATGTTGTTGGTGACGTCAAAAGACTTGCGTCAGGAATCAGAGTATGTTTTAGGTGTTTTGCTTTTGCCTGACTTAAATAAATGAATGGTTTCTACAGTACCTGATGGCATGCTGAGGAGGTGATGATGTGACAAATCGGTTCCGAGTACCAGGATTGAGAAACACTGACATAGATCATATTAAATCATTAAGTGTTAGAATGGGCCAGGTCTAAACCTGGGAGGATTTTTGGCAAGACTATTAAAACTTCTGTTCATAGATCTCTTCTGTCAATTCTGACTGAACTTGGAAACAGTAGTGTTCTCTAGATCAGTGTTTTCCAACACCTGAGTTTAATTGATGGGTGATTAATAACTTTTTAGTGAACTGCAATCATCTGAATCAGGCATGTTAAAGCAAGGAAACGTATAAAGCATGCAGCCCAGTGTGTGTGCCCTCAGGACCAGGTTCGGGGCATATTGCTGTGCAAAGCTGGTTGAGACGACTCCAGAAGACTTAAAGCTGTAATTTCTGCAAAAGATACTTTTGCAAGTCATTACGTCAGAACACTGAACAACCGTACATGTCGCTTTCTGATTTTCTTTTTGTAAAACAAAAAATGAAATCATAAAAATGCTTTTTCTCTTTTAATTATGCTTTTTGTTGTTATAATGCTGGCCAATTACTGCTGCTGTTTATACCCTAAATATACCAATTTAGTGCACCCAATATTATTACAGTTCCCATTATATCTTCTGTTTATGGATAATGTGATTGGGAATTGAAATACTGAACAATTCTTATTTATTTATTTAAATAAGAAATTTGAATCAAGATGTTCAGCTCGAGAAAAAGACATCTTCTTTCTTGGGGATAAACGTCAAAAAGCAGCTTTTTCCTGAACTGTTGACATCAGCTTTAAAAAACTGAAACAATTTTTTTCATTTTGTCCTCTTGTCTGAAATGGCTCATGTGTTTTAAAAACTCTTATAAGTGATATTAATGAGAATGACTCCCTGGTCACAGAAATAACTATGAAATAACGGAAAGAGATAAAATAGAATCTCACTCCTTTTATAAATTGAATAAGTTACTATAATTGATATAAAAAGGTTTACAAAACTCATCTAGAATGCATAATTTGTTCATCTTTCCCAGCCCCCTTTACACCTGTCGTTGACTCAGCTCCACATGCACACACACCCTGGGGCAGCGTATCTTGCTCTGCTTGCAGCTGAGCTGTTCTTAAACAAGCTCGGCCTTGTTGAACTGTGAACACAGAACGTGCCCTTGGGATATCTCCACAACTGCAGGAAGTGTTTTTACATGATATTATATTACATATGCCATGTATGTTTGTACACTTACACTTCCATTCAGTTACCATACATATATATTCATACATTCTGTGATTGTTTTCTCTTTTTTTTAGCTTGGAGACGACTTGCAGTTGTTTCTTTTTAGGCTGATTGCATCTTTAATAAAATAGCATTCCTTTTTGGACAAAACACCCCTAACCACCTCAAACCCACACAAAAGCCTGTATTAATGTCTTGCTTATGTTTATGATTGATGGCGCATCTGAAGCTCTGTCCCCCGTCCCTCCTGTCTCAAACCCACATCTGCGAGTGCGCTTAAACAAATCACTTCGTCTAACTAGATCAAATGTTCTGCAGAAACATTTTTGAATTAAAAAGGTAAGAAATTTCACAAAGCAGGGACATTTGTTTTAAGACAATCAGATTAATGACAGATTTGGTTGTTACCCGGGTGACGGGGGCCTTTTGCTGGCTTGGCGCCACCATCACGGCCAATATCAGTCAAAAACGTAGCAAGCTTTCAATAGCCCTCATTGCTGTTACCCTCTGCAAATTTATGCAAAACAGGAGACTTTTATAAAGTATGATCTTATGATTTGTGTTAAACAGTTTTGACAAACCTTGCATCCTTTACGGTCTTTCTTTTTATTCTTCCTTTCTTTGCCTTACATCCTTCTTAGTTTTGCATCATGTTGAAAAAGTTGGGTTAGGTGTCATTTGCTCTCCTTATCTGTCTTTATCTTGATGCACTGTGTGTGTTCATGCCTTTCCTTTAGCTTATTTCCCCTGTGTTTGCACGCACCCACGTTACTCCTGTAGCGGTGGGTTTGCTCTTTTGGCCTGAGCTGGACCTTGGCTCCCATCTTCATCCATCACAGTCTCCAGGCCGACCCTCAGGCTTCACCGCATCCTACAGTCTCCCCACCCTACCTGCAGCAGCTCTCTAGCTGCTCCCCCTGCTCCACATCAGGCCTCTGGCCAGGGGCACTGAGTAATGGGTAGCTCTGTAGGTGGTGGGAGGCCAGAAGAGACACACACATGCTCACTGACGCACAAAAACAGACACAGGAGCAACACATATGCATAAAGACCAGCAGGGGCTCTCTCCCACCAGCTGCAGAGAAAGAGAGGGAGGAGGAAATGGGAAAGAGGAGGGAACCCTAATAGGCATAACTAAAGCACTCCTAATGAAGGGATGTGTGTGATTGTGTGTGGGTGACAGAGAGAGAAAGGCAATGTTCAGCTGGGATATGTGTGTGTATGTGTGTCTGCTTGTGTGACTCATGTTAGTGTTGATCCTGTTATAAAGTGCTATGGCCCAGAGGGTTGGCCTGATATTAAAGCCCTAAATGATGCTATTTATTATGTCCACAGTGTGTGTTTGTGTGTGTGCGGTGTGGGGTGCTTTATTGCTTTGCTCCCTCATGTTTTTGTTGTTTGGGGGACTGTTAGTGGTGTATTGTTGTCAGGATCGATAGCTTTGGGAGCGGGTCGTGAAATTTAAGGATTTATCAATAATCAACACAATGATTATTAGTCTCTGCAGTCAGGCCTCAGAGTAATAAGATCAGCCATTACCTGCATTGATTATATCCCATCTCTGCTAAAAAGTAACTTTGGATGATGGGTATTGTAATTTTTTTAAGATTGCTTCCAAATCCCTTTGATCATCTACAGCCATCACCAACTACTCATGAATGACAGATTTCACATCAAACGTCTTTACACTCTTTTTGTAAACTTTTTACAGATATTAATTTTTAATCCATAAATCATCTTATTGATAACTTCAGGCTTCTTTACATCAAACATACAGTTGGTTTGTGTCAATACATAAACATTTTTATTTTTACAAAAAATCCTCAATTCAAATGCCAAAGAATAGAGTCTGATGTTTACATAATAGTTGAGCTACATGAACTGTGTGACATATTTAAATTCTATAGTTGGATTCTATCTGGCGTGATGTTTATGGTGTCTAGTGATCATGTGACCTGTAAAGGTCCAGTGCTTGCAAATGTATTTCTACGCCTAAATCTTTTCACATTATTACGACAAATGTCAATCTACTTCTTTGAGAATTTCTGCGAGGGACCGATACAAAACATTTTCTTATCTCAATTAGAAGGAAAGGGTTTTTAAAAATTTGTAGCAAAGACAATCTAAAATGTGCATAACATATTCAACCCTTCGTAATCTGACTTTGCAGCGTCCATATTAGTGGATTTAAACCATTCCATGTAAGTATTTTGAATGGCCCAGTCAAAGTCTAAATCCAATTTCAGTTGAGAATTTGTGGCAAGACTAAGGGCTGCATGATATTAGAAATACTATTGATATATATGGCAAAGATGATATGAGTTGTGGCATATGCCTGCTTTCTTCTTTCCTCCCTTTCTCATCTGTGCCTCCATCACTCTGTGACCTCTAGCATATTAAGCAATGTCATTTGTAACCACTGTGAGCATCTGCTGCCATGAGACTGTCCAACTTACTGAACATTATATTGGCATGAAAAATACAAGTTCATATTTGAAATACATTAGGCAACTATTACTCTACAATCATTTGCGCCCACTGATATTTCAATGATATATTTGGTATATAAATATATCATTTTGAACATTAACTCTTGCTAAGGCAGAGTTGAGGTTCAGCCTTTATTACTGTCAGTTATGTTGACTTTCTGCTTGCAGCAAATGAAAACCCAAACATTTAATTTATCAGAAAATTTGAATATTGCAACAAACCAATAAAAAAGTGGTTTAGATACAGAAATGTGGGCTCCTTAAAAAGCTTAATATCTGCTTAAAGATTATTTTCAAAAGGTACACTTAATATGATAAATGATTCTCGTCATGTCATATTCTAATTGGAGGTGTACCTGTGGTTTTCAACCTGTGAACTCATAAAGGGCCAAATGCAAATGTATGCCAAACGTTTTAGAAAAAATAATTGTAAGCCACATGTACTTTTCCTTTCAATTTTAGTTATATATGATTTTCTGTGGCTTAAACATATAACATCTGTAAGAATTAGATAAAAATGATGGCAGACAATGCAGAGGACACTAAACCTCCTGACCAATCGCTATCTAGGGCTGCCACACTTTGCACCTGGGGTGACATTATGCTAATTCAGCATTCATAGTCTTACTCCATTAACTACTATTTTCTTTTACTGAACTTGTTGCTAAGGTTAAACAACCTGCTGTGTGTTTAGTTGGTACAAGAGTCCAGGGTCTTAGTGCCTGGTTGGAGAGGTCATGGGTGAATTATTGGCACACGTTGCAGATATGAAACCCCCTACAGAGGCATTGCCTAGACCTTCCGACTCACTGCAGAAGGCCTCAGTAATCATTAAACCAGTTTGACCTCTTAACACCATCTTCACTAGAATGACGATCTCTGCTTCCTACTGAAGTGTGTCTGTAATATTTTAATAGGATGAAAAATGGCTGCTAAATTAGAACATGAAACTAAACTGTTACTGATTTCGATATTATGTACCAACTGTAAATTTGTATTATGTCGCCTACAGGTGCCAACCCGTTGCAAACCAATAGTTTGGGACACACGGCCCGGGCTTATGCGAAGGAGGGAGAAGTCAACACAGTTCTGCAGGAGTGGGAGGGCAAGGTATAAACCACACTAAACTTTCATGCAAACACAGTGATCCATTTCATTTTGTTTGCATCTAATCTCTGAACAATGTGCAAGCAGTTTTTATTCTTCCAATTGTCCCTCTTCCTAGTCTGAAATACTCACGTCTATTCACTCGATGGACATCTGTCTCAGTGACTTCACACGGTGCTGACTGGCCGACACTCCTCAGGAGGTCTGTGTCTGTGTCGTCACTGACTGACAGGTGCTATTGAGTATTTAAGTTTTAAAAGCTGGTAGAGGTTAACTGGGGTCAAAACTGTGATTGAGAACAGAGCTAAGTCATTGATGAGGACATGTTGTTTTGGGTTGGAAGTATTTAGATTAATTTTTGTATCCGCCTTCAGATCTTTAGTTTTGGTAGTTTTGGTGAAGCTTTGACCTGTTCAGTGGATTCCAATTGGTCTGTAAGTACCATAATATAAGGATTTATAAGAACAGGATACAAAAAATATACAGTAAACATACATTAACTTTCAGATCACAGAGTTTGAAGGAGTGAAAATGAAGATGCATTTCAAGAGTAAATTCTCATCTAAATGGTAGCATAGTACAGATCAGTTTAGTTTTTTTTGTCACAGTCTAAGACAAAGCTGAAGATCTGATGACCTCCATCAACTACCAGGAAGTACAGTTTGGTCATTTTAGTGAGACTTTTTCCACCACTCTGACAAACGGCAGCAAACACACAGTTGCTTTCTATGAGTTTACAGAGCGAGGCTTTGAATGTAACTCCATAAATTACCTTACCAGCTGCATAAACAATAGAGATTATGAATGGGTGTAAATTGCGGCTGAGACATAATAAGGGATAGTTCACTGTTGGTAAAGCTTTTCAGTTAATTTACCAGGTTTAGCTCTATTTTCAAATACACATATTTACATTTGATGTCACATATGTTGACATCCATACTGCACATTTATTTGTTTTATAAGGTTGCACAATTGACTTCTTTGTTGTTTCAAGATATACTGTTTGCTACTTTCTGTTCTCATCCTTTGCAGAATGATCGTCTTTGTGGTTCGTCTATGTGTAACCTCTCCTCTACAATAACAGCTCTCTGGAGATGATGAAAGTGATAGGTGTTATTAGATTTTGAAGCTGTTTAGAAGCTTGTGTAAAACATGTCATAAAAGGCAAGCCTGTGACATTTCTATATACTTTTCAAAGCTTTTGGGACTATAGTTGAGCTCTGATGTGCAAAGAATAATGTATAATTAAGGTTTTATGCAAAGAAAATATTTTTCTATTGCTTTATGGGGAAAGGGATACACATTTTGACATTTTTTAAAACACAAAATGATCCCTGCTGCTGGAAAAGTGAATTTACTTTCTTTATTAATCATGTTTTACAATGAGAAAAAATGCATTTGTTTTGCTTTCATCTTCTTTAGCTCAGTTCCTCCATATGTCCATTTATGCTTCACCATTATATAGTAGTGCAAGTTGGTCCTGTCTTTTTTTTTTTTTAAATAAAACTCAAGTTATCCATAGTTATCCACCAGCTTGACAGCAGGCTGCAGCTAAGCAAGATGGAGAGAGAGAATAAACAGTTTGCCTCCACTGCAGGGGGAAAACCTGGAGTCTAAGGAGACAAAAAAAGAGAAGGATAAATGAGTCAGGGGTGGCTGTGGGAAACAAAGAGAAGGAGAAACTAAAGAAGTACAAAGCTTTGGAGGGGAAAGCACAGGTAGAGGAGGACCTGTGTTAGGAAAGGTTTTAAAGAGAGAGATGAAATGAAGAGCGCAGAAAACGGATCACTGCAGCTTTGTGATTTAAAACATCATAAAATAAAATGAAGGGATAGATGCTTTTTATTTAATAATATATGAGGGAATATTTGTGTTTTACAACCCGATTGATTTCCAAACTTTGGAAGAAAAATCATTTTTGTGCAATTTCTGTGTGTTTTTACAGCATCCCTCAGGCATAAATCTTTTTAATCTTTCTAATGAAAGTTGTATCCATCCATCCACCGTGACTCTTCTGTGTTTCTTGAATTTTTAAGAATTTAAGTCAAACAGCATAAATTCCTTCTGTGAATATTTCTGTATATAATTGAAAAAACCATGTAATCTGAGTCTGATAGGTAGGGGAATTGAAGTTAATGAAATGTGTATGAACTCTCATGAATATGGCACAATAATACTGACTTAATATTTTGGAATTCTAAAGTGTCCATTTTTATTCTTGCATCTCTTTTTATGAATCACCTCCTTTACATCACAAATTAAAGCTCTGCTGCAATACACCACTAATGCTGCTTTATTCCCATTCCTTATAATTTCAGATTTCTCATGTTTAAAACAAGTTTTTATTTTGATGTTTTGAAATTTTCATTTTGTTTCAAGAACCTCTTACTCATCTTGTTTGCTGTTTGTATTTCTTTCCAAAAAATGTCCTTAATTTGATATTTTGTCTCACTATGCAGAGAGAGTCCACATTTTAAAACAGTTATTGTGTTTTTATCACTTAAGAGCAACAACGCCATTTAAGTCCCCAGTTTTTTTATTTTATTTTATTTTGTAAACAGTAAAACATGTAAACACCCTAGGCAAGGAGAGACTCAATCAATCGTATAAGAAATTCGGCAGCGGGGAGAAACAGGTGTTCGTGTCGGAGTCGCGTGACGAGCGAGTCACATTCCTAACTTGCACCACCGGCACTGAGCAGCAGAAACACAGTATTTATTTAGTCTTTTAGCCTCCGTTTGAAAGCCTATTACACTTTGATTTCCCTCAATACTCCCTCATACATCTCCTCCTGCTTCCAGACTCATTGACTCTCTTGTGAGCTGATCTTTTTCATCTCTGCTTAGTTTAAGGAGCTGCAAGCGCGTCGAGAGGCAGAGGAAAGGAGAAGGTTCCCCCTGGAGAGGAGGCTGAAGGAGCACATCATCGGTCAGGAAGGGGCCATCAATACCGTGGCTTCAGGTACACACTTGCACAGAGACAATTATAGAGGGATGTTACAGAATGCATGCAGAGAAAGTCTGCAGGTGCATGTCGGAGCTTCACTTTACAACATGGCTGTCTTCGCATTGATGCCCTTGTTTGTGTTTTGTACTCTTGTCCGTTTTCCCTCCTGCTCTCCTCTCTTCCCTGCAGCTGTAGGCGGGATCAGACAGACCGGCGGAGGCTGTAATTGGTTAATTGTGATGAATGAGCTGTCTGTCAGTTGTGCACAGGTGTTGTGTGTGTGTGTGTGTGTGTGTGTGTGTGTGTGTGTGTGTGTGTGTGTGTGTGTGTGTGTGTGTGACAGCTGAAGAGGCCAGGCTTGGAGCCGCCAGTTAACACAATTACAAAGAGAGGATACATACTACAGACCCTACACCCCTCCTCCTTTTCTCCCTCTATCTTTCTGCTTACCCCCATCCTATCTCTCTTTCCTTTCCCTTTGCTTTCTCTATTTCTCTCTGTTTGCCATGAATATCCATCTCTCAGCTCTCACTCAGCCTTCTTTCTTTTTCCTATTATAACTTTGAAGCTTCTAAATGTCTTAGAGCTGAAATTATTCATTTGGTATTAATTGATTATTGAAATAATTGTTAACTAATGTAGTACTCATTTAATGGTTAACTGAAGTATGCAGACTAAAAAAAGGTCATTTGCTGAAAGAACAACATATTTAGAGCAGCAATAAAGCCAATAATGTACAATATTTAGATTTAGATATATTTTCCATTTAAGATGAAAAACATTCTTGGTCTATAAACATGTTCTACGCAGAACTCTGCCAGTGTCATAGTTTTAGCTTCACCTGGTCCAAATTCTTTTTAGAAAGCTGCTATTGAGCAACTTCTACTACCCAGTTTTAATAAGTTAATTCAAAATTAATCAGCAGATCAGACTGTATTAATGGTAAATCTGTCAGAAAGGGCTGAGCATTTAACCTTTTTTTAACTGAAGACATAATTTGCTATAAATTATCATATGATCAAGCGTTTTCTACATTTTAGGCAACAAAACGTTAATTTTCTTATTTAAAAACCAATTGAATTGTTTATTAGCATCTTTTCATATTTTTCTAATATTGTATAAAAAGGCTTTAGTGGTTAAATGAAAGATTTGCAGAATGTTCCTTTATTTCATCAATCTGCATGCTACAATCAGTGACAAATGAGTAAAATCCTGTTAACGGGATGGGAGAAATAAAAGCGGATAATGGAAAACAACTTAAAATGACGCAAAAGCAAAAACGTTGGAACCGATGGAGGACCATGAACTGAGAAGCTGAGTCCTGTGATGAGAAAAGAGGAGGGCGGATGAGTTAGAGCACAATAACACCAAAGACAGTAAAGAGCTGATATTACAGCAGACATCCATGGAGGCCATGTGGCGTATTGATCTGCAGATGAGAGAGTGAGAGTTAATGTTCAGCAATGCTTCTGCTGCTTACAGTCAAGCCATTTCTTATCTTTATGATGTTGTACATTTTCTCTTTGGATTTGTGAGAAAATAAACTTATTACCAAAACTAGATGGAGACATTAATCTGCTGTGAGGACAGACACTGCAATGGCAATTACTAACAGGAGAATAACTTTTACCGCGGTTTGAAACTTCAGACAGTTTTGTAAAGTGGCTCATAAGTAGCAGCGTGTCAGGATATACGGGTTCGTCCTGTAACCGGCGGGTTGCCAGTTCAAATCCCCGCTCCATCCTGAGTTATGCAAGCTATGGCCTTACTTAAATTGGATGATCTCTTGTCTTCTATATTTTGAAGTGAAGGTTTAAAACTTCCTAGAAACTCTGATGAATTTAAAAGGGAGTATCTGCATTAGAACAGACATATTACAAACTTGGATCTCTAGAATGGCAGAGAAAGAAGAGGTTACGCATCATCATGTGAACCTTTGTGTCTGTGTCAGCGGTTTTCAATCACTTTGATCAAAGGCTACACCAATCAGTCAAACTCTGGGAGAGTCCATGTGAGGAAATTGTTCAGGAAAGAGAGAGAAGGAAACGATCCAGATAAGAGGACAACAAATGAGAAAGGGATGCAGAGATAAGCAGAGAGAAAGGGCTGGAATAAGAAATTTAAATGTATGCTATATGCTGTATAGCAACAAATTGCATTGTTAGTTTTTCTGTATTGATCTGTATGCCAGTTTACTATTTGTCAGGTAATAAAAAAGTAGTAGAATCACCTGGTAATATACTGTTTCAAATGCTTAATCAAAAAGTATTTAAAATGCATGTATAAAACAAAATCTTATTTCAAAAGCAATATTTTACAAACATCAGTCTCTAAATACATTTTATACAATTTTTATATAACGTTTAAGAATTGACACTTTAATATTAAAGATGAATAGATAAAGTTAAGTAACGGCTTTCCCGTTAACAATTTACCAAAATGTCTCAAATGTATTTATTTATGTTTGAGTTCTTCTGTTTAACAAAGTCAGCATTTTATTAAAACAGCTTAATTGATTTAATTTTACAAAATATACTTTATGCATTTTTGTCTGGTACAGAACGGTAAAAGAGATCTCTGTGCTTTTTTTTTTTTTTTTTTGAAGAATAAGCCTGCTGTTTTATTATGATAGTTATAGGACTGCAAAACCATAATTGGTTCTGATACCAAAAAACAATGTTGTTTAAAAAAAAAAAGCAATTATTTCTTCTGTCAGGCTTTGAAGGGTTAAAAGCAATCATTTAAAGACTAAAGAGCAGAGCAAATAATTGGCATTTTTCTTGATAAATTACCTAAAAAAAACATAGTTTGTATTTTCAGTTGTTGATAAATGGTTTTATACCAACTTATTGATTAATCATGTTATTGTTTCGACGTTGTTCATCTAATTCCACAGCAGTGTGTGAGTGAGGAAATGAATTTTGCAGACAGTCTGCGGAACTGATTGTTGTTGTAAATATTTTGCAGACCAGACGGCAAGAGATTAAAAAAATGTTTGCTGTGTTGTCATGTCTTCAAAACAGTTGTTTCCACCATAACTCCTCGTGACAAACAGCTTGCCTGCAGCAAGACACACACGCGCGCACACGCAAACACCCACATGGTACAAATACACAAAACCCACATAAATACACACACAGGAAGGAGGTTAGATTGATCCAGGTTTAGCTCTCAGGGCTAAGAGTTATTGAAGAGAATCATCCCTCTGTAATCATGTTAGAGCCAACCAGACCTGCAGAATACACACTGTCCTCTGCGTGTGTGTGCGTGTGTTTGTGCAGGAGAGCCAGCTCTCATTTGTTTTGTGTCCCTTTCCTTTCCCTCTTCTTGTCAGAGTCCTCTCAGAAATGTCAGTGTGCCCTTCTGTCAAAGTCAGTCTCAATCAGCTAAAAGACGCACAAAAACACAGAAGGTTACCCTGTCATTCACGCAGCCATTGATAAACCAGACGGAGCTTCGGAGCCCATCTTGTCACATTTCATCTCTTGGTCCATCTGTGACACGCTCATTTGTTTCTCTGCCTCATTCTCTGGCTCCTTATCTCCATCACTTCTCTGTCTTTCCCTTCTTTATCTCCTTCCACATCTTCACTCCTCTTTCCTCTCCTTATCTCTGTTCCTCCCTCTGCTTCCTCTCTCCTCCTCCTCTTAATCCTAGCGTTTCCTCTTTGATTATCAGCTATTAGTGCCCGGTTTAGCACTTATGTCATGTGTCACATATTCCATGTCCGTTGTTTTCATATTTTAGCTTCATTGCGCAGTAATTTGCTCAAAATATTGCTGTTCGTTCCCAAAGTTCAGCACAAAAGCAACATTTTGTGCCTGTAAAATGTTGAGGATCTATGATGCTTCTATTAGAGATTTACAGATCAGGCTTTTCATGGCAGATAACTGATCTTCAGTAAGTTTTGACTGGATATATATATATATTTATCTTGAATCCTATAAAATAAAAAAGGTTCCTTGATACTGGTGGTAGTTTTTTAAACAAAAGACATATAAGATCATTTCTATTTATGTGTATATTAAGAAAACGTGAAACTTTGCCACCACTAGATGCGTGATTTTGGGCCTTTGTCTCTAAAGTCTGTATCACGTGTATAAAAAATCAGTGACTGATTGATGAAGTCCATCCATCCAGCCTGATGTAATTATCACTTAGGGTTTGCACACATTGCATTTGAAATGGGATTTTCACTTTATACTAAATTTCACTGAAAATACCTTTTTTTTTTCTTTTTTTTTTTAGAAAAAAAGGAAAAACTGATAAACATTTGTACTGTATTAAAAATAATGTGTCATATTGATGATTACAATTCAAATATTATTTTGGGGCTACATCATGGCTCAGTGGTAGACCAGGTGTACTATTCATAAACCCAAACCTCTTATACCATCTCCCTCTTTTCTGTCTTTGTTCCTTCTTGTCAAGTTGCTTAAAAAATGCTACCGGCTAAAGGATCTTAAAAACTGTAATATCTTTGTTTATTTATTATTGTTTTGATGTTAGAATCAGTTTGTGAGAATAGCATCTCTCACACAATATAAACCATACTGCATACCTACTGCATCATGAAGTAACTCTGTCAAATAGTTTACTGTGGGTTTGTTGAATCCGCATAATGGGAATATTTTTAACATGCCTGCATTCATGGGAAGATGGTAGTTTAACAAAAGTATAACAAGGGAATTAGTCAGACTATCTGCTCCAGTGGCCAGCCATCAGTTGCTTTCTTAGAAAACTTTAGTTTAACTGCTATTTTAAAATTGTTTCTTTAATGCAAGTCTTTGCAGGAAATATTTCCAAACATCTGAATTTGCCCAGTAACCAGCTCATCCCTTTTTGAAATATTGTAACCTATAAAATATTGCATCCACATAGTTCTTTGGCTTAGCAATATGGTCCACATTGATATGGTGATTGGCCTTTGATATGTCATTCTTCTCTACTGGACGTGTTTAGTTATTAAAACTCATGTGGGACTTGTGGCCACACTCTGAAGCTAATTTACACAAATGTCTCCCATCCTCAAAAGGCCAACATGTCACATTACATCAATAACTTTATTAGAATTTCTGGTTTATCTTCAGCACTTTTTTTTTTTCTTTTTTTTTTTTCTTTTTTTTGCTGGACTTTTTAACAAAACCGTGATGTGTATAGGAAGCTGATAAACTTCTAATTAGAACCCAAACCAGCACCATCAGACCAGAAACATGTTTTTTTTTTTGTTTGTTTTTTTTCTGAAACATGCTGTGTTAATAATGGATCCACTGGTTCCAGTGACTAGCCCAGCCACATCCCTGTTCATCTCTGGTTTGGACTCCAGTCTAGATCACAGGTTCACATTTGGAAGAGTTTTCTGGTGTCTTTTTCTTTAAGTGCCTCAAACCACAGTCAAATACTCTCCTGCCGTCCACATCATCATCCTGCCTTTGTGTATATGTGTGTTTGGTTGCTGGGGTGATGGCAGGGAAGGGTAGGCACTCCTTTTTAAGCAAGAGTGTGTGTGAGGCTGCGATCTATGCTAAACTGATTTCAACATGGCTGCGCCAGAGAGGCTAACACAATTACTGCTGGCTAATGGCCCCACTGACTGAGAGGCGGGGGGAGATGCATCGTGGGTAGCTTTCTGGAGCTCTCTCGTCTTGCTCTCTTGCTCTGTTTTCTCTCCTCTTCTTCTTTTTTTTTTTTTTTTAAACCAAATGTCTCTGACCCTTTTCTCATCCCTGCTCTTTCACTCTTTGATCAAAGTTTCAGGAATCCTTCCACCCTCAGGTCAGCTCAGTTATTCTTGATGGAAAGCAAAAGCAACAAATGCAAATGTTATAATGGGGTTATTTTCTCTCCATCTCTCTCTCTGTGGTGTCTAGCCATCAGAAGAAAGGAGAACGGCTGGTATGATGAAGAGCATCCTCTCGTCTTCCTCTTTCTTGGCTCATCAGGAATCGGTACCTTCTTTCTTCGACACACACACCTCTCCTCAACCTTGGTTTGATCTCATGTAAAAAAAACAGCTGGGGGGAGCCGAAATAATCACAATACTCGTTTTCCTTCTGAAGCTTTTCAATGCATTTGAAGTGAACTGCATTCATCTGTGGATAAATGAATCACTTAACAAGGGATATAGCATTATAAAACCCACTGCGTAACGGTTTAGGTAAATCTACATTCAGCAAGTGCATTTCTCTCTTAAGGGCCTTTCTTTCTTTAGTAGTTTCAAAGAAGTTCAAAACTATGTAGACTTTCTCATGCTGAGTTATGGAATTATAAGAAAGCAGCATTTATAGGAAGTAGCCTTACATATGTGAGCAGCGCTGTAATTAATGAAAGGTCTTATCTCAAGATCACGCAATTTATTCTGCACACTTTTAAAGTGAAAAGAGACATTGTATCCTGTAACTTTGATGCTTTTCAGGTTAAAACGGTCTAACAGTTTTCTAATTGAATCAAACAGCTGTGATTAAAAGACAAGCATATTTTAGTTTATTAAAACACAATTGGCAGCAGACTTGTGGCCAAATGTGCTCTTGTCAGAGACCAAGATTTAACTTTTTGATCTTACTGAATTCTCTGTGTGGATGAAAACTAATACTGCACATTAAGGCATCTGTTATAATCTCCACTGCTACACATATTTTGCTCAGAGGAATGGATAAAACCTCAATATTTAAATGTGTAAAGCTGCTGGAGAAATACCCCAGAAGACTTGTAGTTGCAAAGAAAGGCTGTAGAAAGGGGAGTAGAAGTATAATTTTCCTTTTATTTTACTGCTATACTTTGTGTTGGTCTGTCAGATAAAATCACTTGTAGAATAGGTTGAGGTTTATGGCTATCATGTGATGTCAAAAATACTTATGCAAGATATTGTAGCTAGAGATCAGAAATGTAAGAGTTTGATTTCTTTAAACACATCCTGACTTGAATTGCCATCAAAACATTTGAGAATTTTCTGAATGTGTATTAGCTTGAAGGGTTTCCTCGGATGTGTTTGCCAAAATCTCCCCTCAGCATTCAGTCTTTTTAATTGATTAGTATTGACAGCAGAAAGCCCCATCCAATATGTAGCCTTTGTTTGGAACAGCTCACCCTTAGCTGTGTGTGTGCAGCAGCTGTCAGAAAAACAGCTGATTGCACATTAAAACACTAGTACCTCTTGGTAACACACTATTGTTGTGAGCGAGATAATCAACAGCAGCCTGTGGTTTCAGGAAATGATATCCACTAGGGACGAGCGTAAACTGAAAGAACCTCCACCTTTGTGTTGCGGCAGATCCACACTCCTGCACATAGATCTTAGGAGTACTTTGGACAAAGAAGTACTGAGTGAACATAAAATCCTCCCAGAAGATTTTCAGTATCAAGCAGCAAAGCTTGGCTTGTTACAAAGAAACTTAAACATCCTCTAGAAGCAGCAAATGTTTGTTAGTGTGGAGAGAGGCAGCAGGAAGAGAGAGAGAGGGAGAGGGAGAGAGAGAGAGGGAGAGGGAGAGAGAGAGATATTAAGGGCCAGATAGATGGCTAAAGAAAGAGAGAGATCATGAAATGACAAGGCAGAGAGATAGATGAGGGAGAGGCAGTGTTCATATCCTCCATTCCCTTCAGCGACAAACTCTGGCCATGAGACATCAATATTAAACACAGCAACAAGGCACAAACGCACACAGCCCTCACACACACCCATGCCAAGTACAAGACATCAATATCATATATGAGCATTTATATGCAGAATATTTTACCGACAAACATAATGAGTGCTTCAGGAGAGCGGATATGATTTGATGCTTTATTGGAGGTGGTGCTGGGATTTAGGCCAAAGCACTTAGCAAAGAGGAAAATATTGTCTTTTAGTCTCAAATGAGTCAAATTGTTTTCTTGACTGAATGTTTTAGAAGACGCCGCACTTCACATGAGATGTTTTGGGGGGGTTTTATGTCAAATTCAAAGTAATTAAATGGCAGACGAGGTTGTTCCTGTTGCAGAAAGAATAATAAAAGCGATGTCTCTGTTCTGTGACAGGAAAGACGGAGTTGGCAAAACAGGTTGCTCGCTACATGCACAAAGACATTAAGAAGGTACGTTTTGTTAACGCATGAATACACGAGCGCTTCGGTGCAAGTGGGAGCAGATTTGCTCTCCAGGCTCACATTAAACCCACAACATGTCACCAGTGTTTCTCCACTGTGTCTAAAAGTGTGAAACTTCATATTTTAAAGGTCTGGATATTCAAGAGTGTGAAAGAATATTTTTGTTTAAAGAAATTATATCCTGACTTTACCACTAAATTCTCATCCCCCTTCAGTTCTCTATCTGGGATTTCTCCCATTAAGCTCAATTTCTCCAGTTAAATTTCAACCAGGCTAATCAGTGAACAAAAGGAAGAGGTGTGAATGAAGTGTTTGCGTGGTTGTAGCTTGGTATTGGCAGTGTAGGAAGTGAATGAAGCCGTTCTCTTTTCTCTGTTTCCCATCTCCATACTTTTCAGTTTTGGGATTTTGCTGGTATGCAAACCCAGATCAACCTGCACATATCTCCTCCATTTAGAATGAATGCTTGTATTTTATATTTTAAAATGACTGTAAAGAACATGAACAATATGTTGGAGCCATGTATAATCAGAGAGTCTTTTTTTTTTCTTTTCTTTTTGCAGGGTTTCATCCGCATGGACATGTCGGAGTTCCAGGAAAAACACGAGGTGAATAGTTTCCTTGAATTGAAGACCGAAAGCAGAATGTCTTTTTAAAACCGTCGCGTATAATTTGTTGAGTGTATTGCTCCACCGAAGTGAGCTCATTTCAGATGAGAGCTGCTGTAACTCTGTGTCTGCTATCTATGGCAGTGACATTTTGGATTAATTCTGTTTATGATCTCATAATTAATGCAACAGCCAAAATGAATGCTCTGGCTGTTTATGCCTCTTTATGGGGGTTTGATGATGGATACATTTAATCAGTGATTCAGAGTTGGATTATGTTCCAGCGTTAAAGAACTGCATCTAATTATTTTAGTTCAGACTTGGTGTTGAACGTCTTAGAAAGCTCTCTAATGAGTGGCAGTAAAAACCTTGACTTAAGGACAGTTTAAGTTTTCTCAGATAACATTGTTGTCTGTTCAGTGACCACACATGCAAGGTAGTGTGAAAAGTTTATTTGGAAGGGAAATATATTAATAGACTATAAGAACATGAATATTGGCACCTTAAGATGATCACTCTGTTGAGACAGTTCTTTAAATTCAGTTCTTAGGATCTGCCATACTTACACATTGCAACCACAAGCCTCAGTGTATTTTATTGGGTAAAATGGTCAAACTGGTGGAAGGGAAATTAAATATGGTTTGCACATTGTTTCCAAATAAAATTAGAAAAGTATGCAATGCATTTGCATTCAGTCCCCTGTAGTTAATACTTTGTAGGAACACTTTTGGCTGCAGTGAACCTGTTCCTCTTTTCTAAATAACTTGAGCTCAGTCAAATTGGATGGAGAGCATCTGAGAACATCATGTTTCCATTCTTGCCACAGATTACAGTGGAAGCAGAACTTCAATCGTACCTTACTCTTTTAGTTTTCAGGTACTGGATTGAACAATTTCAAATGAGGTGTTCAAAGTTTGGGATGTTTTTTTTTATATATCCCCGCCTCGTCTGCCTTGTCTGCTGTGTTCCTCCAAACATGCGAGACCTCCACACATAGCTGGATTTATACTGAAATTAAGATACACACAGGTGGTTCCTTTTACTAAGTAAGTGACATTTTAAGGCACCCGGTTGCACTTGATTTTATTTAGGGGCAGCAATGTAGGGAGGACTGAACACAAATACTTGCCACAGAGATTTTTAAAACTCTTTTTCTTCCACTTCATAATTATGCATCAAGTTTACCTTCAAATAGGAAATACAAGTGTGTGTGTGTAATCTTTTTTCATGTTGAATGAACCCTATTACTATATAAATTCATCCAAAGAGATTTCTTTGTTGCATGATGTCTGTTTAGCCTTTCATCTTCTGGTTCTCTACTCTCAGGTTGCAAAATTCATTGGTTCTCCTCCAGGATACGTTGGGCATGAGGAAGGGGGTCAGCTGACCAAGTTGTTGAAGGCATGCCCCAACGCTGTTGTTCTGTTTGATGAAGTGGATAAAGCTCATCCCGACGTTCTTACCATCATGCTGCAGCTGTTTGATGAGGTCTCTACAAAAATACTCTGTTCATTCCAAGTTTATATTTTAACAAACCTCAGGCCCTCCGACTGATTTCATGCTGCTCTTCTCTCAGGGACGTCTCACGGACGGCAAAGGAAAGACTATTGAGTGTAAGGACGCCATTTTCATCATGACTTCAAATGTTGCCAGTGAAGACATTGCCCAGCATGCTTTGCAACTGCGGCAGGAAGCTGAGGAGGTCAGTCGCAGGAAGCTGGCCGACAAACTCGGTGAGAGAATTACTCTAGCATGAAGCACATCTAGTAAATATAAAACAAACAACTATACTGATTCAGATGACTTGACTCATTGTCATGTTTATCCCCAGAGGATGTTGAGAAAAGCGACGACATTAAAATCTCCCGGCAGTTTAAAGAAACGGTCATCCAACCAATCCTGAAGGTAGAGACGCTCACAAACGCACAAAACTGAAGCTCACCTCGTTTTGACGCAAGTTCAGCTGGCTGGAGATGCTCCAGGTGTCATCGTTCGCTCTTTGATTCATCCTCAGGCTCATTTCCGGAGGGACGAGTTTCTTGGTCGGATCAATGAAATCGTGTACTTCCTGCCGTTTTGTTACTCAGAGCTGCTGCAGCTGGTCAGCAAAGAGCTCAACTTCTGGGCCAAAAAGGTTTAGTAGCAACTTTTTTTTATTTACACTATGTTTAAGATTTGGTTTCTGACAAATAATGTAGGTATATTTATAGTCTGTCACGCATCGAGGTGTCTTGAAGGAGACGTTTCACACCATTTGCTCCAATCGTGAAGTTTCTGTATTTGCCTCCTCCTGTCGGACTGCACAGCCTCACCCACTTCATTCTGCAGCCGCTGAGCTGTGCAGGAAAAAATGCACAGATCAATATTGTGTGCCTCTGCTACTCGCTTTAACATGATTACAGTGTTTAACATGTGGAGGCTTCATCAATATTTAATTATTAATATTACAGCTGATGTCCTGACAACATGGCCCCCACAAGGGACTGATCGAAGCCTGATTCATGCGTGTTTTCACTGTACCCATATTCTGAAAGTTGCTTGTCCGTTCCTTATTATTTTTTTAGTCCAAGTCTCACAACAACTTGTCCGTGTCTGGCAGAGCTTCTAACAACTGAAATTTGATTATCTTCTAATCGCCATTTGTTTGTCGTTCACTCATATTAGGAGAATTAAATGTTTAGTGTTGCCGTTATTGCCTAACTGTGCATCCGCAATGAAACATGGTGTCCTATTTATTGAATGAAGTGTTAACATCAGCAGCTAAATGAGCTGCTCTGATCACTACTATTGACTGGTGTTTGATTAAAGCGCATTAAGGGCTTGTTGATTAGCGCTGGCAGACATTCTGCTTGACAGTATCTCCCGTCTGCTGCTGCATTTGTCTTGTTTACTCTTTTACTCTTTGATTGCGTGTGTGTGTGTGTGTGTTTTTTTTGTGTGTGTTGCTGCATGCACTCCAGGTGTAATCCTCTCCCTCAACCTAACATTACCTCATCTCTATCTTCTCCATCAGGCTAAGCAGCGCCATGACATCACTCTTCAGTGGGATCACCTGGTCCTGGACCTACTGGCCGGTGGATATAACCTGCACTATGGAGCGCGTTCCATCAAACATGAGGTATGTAGACTGAGACATCTTGGAAAGCACATGATGTGCCCTTAAAGGTTAAAGGTAATCGTTTAGCTTTGACCTTTTTATAGCTACCAACTCTGTGTATTTTACTGTGATAGTCCAAGACAGTTACAGTCAATTCTCTTTACTCTAGTTCCTTTAAATAGAATTCAGGGTAACTAATTTCCCTCAGAAGTCACCTTGTTAATAAATAGAGTCCACCTGAGTGTAATTTAATCTTGGTGTAAGTCCAGCTGCTCAGTGAAGGCCTCTGATGTTTGTTAAAGGACATTGGTGAACAAACGGCATCGTTACGACCCAGACTGGTCGTAACGATGCCGGATTAGGATTAGGTTACAAAACAAAATGACAAACTTTGAACAACTCATGGAGAATTGTTCCACTCATCATCTGAACATCAGAAAAGCATGGCACATTTTCAAACCTTTCAAAACTCACAACTCAGACCGAAGAGAATCAGAAAAGCAGTCAGGATCCCATGGGAACTCTGGAGGAGCAGCAGAAATTCACTGCTCAGGTTGGAGAACCGCAAAACTGCAGTTTGTAGAAGAGAGGTAAGAAAAAACTGCAAGAACATCCCAGTCCATATGCCACCATATCTGCTGAAACCCTGATTATTAACACACAAACCCCACAGTGAAACATGGTGGTGGCAGTGTCATACTGTGGAGTGCTTTATTTTTTGCAGGAGGGAAGCAAAACTAGTCAGTTGCTGGAAACAAAATCTAGAACAAAATCTGTTTGAAGCTGCAAAACAATTTCCTGCTGAAGTCGATTCCTGCAAGAGTTGACTCAGGGGGGGCTAAATACAAACACACTGCACATTTTTCAGGTCATTATATGTAAAACAGAAATCGAAACATTTATCATATTGTTTCCAATTTATAATTATGTAGTTCTTTGACATAAACTCTCAGTAGTTTATGTTGAATTTTGTTGTTAGGTGAGAATTGTCAAAACGTTGGGGAAAAAACTGAATCCTGTCCTGCTCTGTGTTGATGGATTGGTAAAGCTGTCCAGGGTGCATCTTGCTTCTTGCCTAACGTCTGCTGGAGGCACAAACACACCCACAACATCAATTAAGGCTTTAAATCAGAGACTGTCTATTAACAAAGAACATACAAGTTTCTGATTGTACTGATTTATCAATTCTAAAATGTAAAGTAGAAACATATTTGTTTAGTAAAGAATTACTTACTTAAAAGGCAACAATTGATTGAAAATGAAAATATGAAGGTACAGTCACTGACTAGAAACACTTCAGGATGTCAAATCAATCTGTAATGTTGCTGCTTTCTACTTAACCCCATCACTGATCCCTCAGGTTGAGCGACGGGTCGTCAACCAATTAGCTGCAGCGTACGAACAGGAGCTGCTGCCCAAGGGCTGCACGCTGCGTCTGTCTGTCCAATCAGAAGGCCAGGAGGAGCGCAGCATGCCCAGGCTGCGCCTGGAGGTGGTGGGAGAGGACAGTTCATCGAGAACACTGGACATCCGCCCACCGCTGAATCCTGAACACTAATACAAGACAACACTAAACCTCATCATCATCATCATCAGCAGCAGTCGAAGCATTATCCAGCATAAAGAGGATGGATGGTAACCAATGGATGTTCTTAATAAAAGCGCATCTGAGAAACTTCACTGCTTCTCATTTATCATGCCAAAGTGTCCACAACATGCAGTACAGTGTATTCAATTTTTCAAATAGGAAAACCAAGGCTAACAGTGTTTCTGCGGAACATATTTATTCAGAGATGTTTATGTTTAGCATCAGCATCATGGCCATACATCATCAGTGAAGACATTGTATCACACTCCGCACTGTCCTTCAATATAGCTGTATATTATGCAGTGGTAATGTTATGTTTACTATGTAATGCAGACTGAAAGCCAAATCAAACAATATGTATTAAATATATATGTATATATATTATAAGGTTAGTTGATATGATTTATGCAGCAAAACCAGCAGTTTTACAGCCAGTTGAGTTTAGCTGAGAGGAAAACTGACATATTTTCTTCAGTTCTTCAGAAACTAAAGGTTTCTGTGAACAAAAGGTACAAATGTCTCAGTTTCAGTGACAATATAGTTTTATTATTTATGTTTTTACAGTGAATTTTTCCAGTTTTCCATGGTTAGGACACTTCAGTTGTTTGTGTTATCACATCAGTGGTGAACAGGCCCACGCTAGCTGAACTACACTCATAAACCGCACTAAAAAAAAGGATGTAGTAATGCAGGTAGATTAGCAGCAGTAGTAGTAGATCAAATGACAAGTTGTCTGTTGATGCATCTTAATGTAGGAATGTGAAATAAAAACACCATTTAACATCATAAATGTTGGAACATCTTGTTGACAACAGGCCAAATGTAAGGGAGCCACGTTTCTGCTCCTCGTATCCCAACCTACACCGTGTAAATAAAACCTTCACAACAAAAAAGAAATTCCTCTCTTTCTTTCTCCTTTTTTTGGGGGGGAGCGGGGGGGTTTGTTCTGTTTGACTCGCACTGACACTCCTGATGGATGGATGGATGGATGAGAGTCTTGCTACAACAATAACGCTTGTCCACCTTGTGAATCGACATGACGGGGGAATTTTGTTGGAATTCTGCTCCATGTGGGGGTCCGAGTTGGACTCCGGGAAGGGAAGCTGCGCGGTGAAAGCATCTCACACATGCAGACACGCAACAGCCTGCAGGAATGTGTTGTCCATAGGGAGTAATTAGCACATCAGGGATGAACACGGTCCCTTTTACAGTGCCTGGACCCCCCAACTGCAACAAACAGCTGGTTTTACTGACATTTACACTAACATGTTTCAAGAGGACGTGTAAAATTTCATGTCATTCACTTTTGAAACAAATCATCTGGCTTCTTGTAATATGCAAAGACTATGGCAACTTTTGAAGCAATTATGTGCAGTAAAATGTTGAAAATAGTGATTGCAAGGATATTTTTTGTTTACATTTAACATAAGGAAATCATGGAAAATGTCAATCTGAATAAAAAGAACGCACAAGCATGAATGTAGTTTCAGACCTTTTTTTTTTTTTAGATATTTATTTGGAAATCAAAGAATAAGTGTTTCCTTGATCTAGATTCACTTTACCTGCCAAAGTCAAAAGAAACTTTACATCTAAAATATTAAGGTGTTTTTGATTAATATGTCTTAATCTATTTTATAAAGCCAGGAAAAAAAAAACTAAATCTCTTATAACATCATGGCTCTGAAGTAATAATGAAGTAATAAAGTTACAAAAGGTTCAACCTTTAATGTTTGAGTCGGAGTTTGACTAAGATGACTCCTAAAACATGGTGGAAACGGCCGTGGATGGGATTGTTGAAATGTGACAATGATGATGACTGGCTTCTGAATCTGTTTGCATTCCTGTTGAAAAGTTTCCATCGGTTTGCTGTTATGAATAAAAAACGATGGAAAATGGTATCCTGCTTGCGTTACACTAAATAGTTCAGGGATTTTCCTAGTGCATGGGTAGGATATATACAGTCTTAGTATTTGAGCTTTCTGGATTAGCTTCTCTTTTTCTGGCTGATCAGACGATCCTACAGGTTGTACTGCAGGCTTAGGCAAGGACAGGGAATGTTACTGGTCAGACTGGGCCCATTAGAATAAGTATGTTCAGCAGAGGTATCAGGGTATGTGGAAGTTCTGCAGAACCCTAACCACCTTTCATCAAATGGGCCTTGTGTTGTTCTTTTATTAAACAACTCTGAAATAATCATTGCAGGGCTTTAAAAATAAAATCTGTTCATTGCAGTCTTGCCTGGTCCACTATACGAACATCTTCAGAGTTCTCACAGCTTAAACGTGTTGCTGCGGTCAAATTCATGTAAACTCATTTAGAGGAGGACTTCGACTAAAAACATCAGATATATTCAAAAGCTCTTCTGTGACGTGACCTGGGAGGGTTAAATAATGACCTACAGTGAAATTTAGCTGTAAACTGACAGTCGTGTCGTTTTATAGATTAAAAGACATGTCTACACAGTGAGTTTGATCTTTCAGAAATCTCTGGCTGGAAACTTTAACATTTCAACACCGTTCATTTGTATTTTTTTTATTTTTTTTTTGTTGTTGTTTTGTTTTTTCTAGCAAAAGGTGTTGGGAATAACCTGTGAAGTTGCTGAGAGCCCATCTGCATGGAGCTGATGAGGATAAACAGCCAGAGATGAGGAGCAACAGGCCAGCAGAGGCTGCATATGGACAGTAGATCAGGTTTTTTTTTTTTTTTCTTTTGCTCTGATACCTCCAGGCTTTTCCCATCTTTCTCCTCTAACCCTCATATGCATCTTCACTTTATGGTTTTAGGAAGTTGGAGTGCTTTGGGTCTGTGTGTGCGCGCGCGCGCGTGTGTGTGTGTGTGTGTGTGTGTGTGTGTGTGTGTGTGTGTGTGTGTGTGTGTGTGTGTGTGTGTGTGTGTGTGTGTGTGTATCCATTTACCTTTCCCTGCGGAGGAAGACAGGAATAAGAAGAAGAGGAGGAGAAAGAAGAGAGGCTCTTAGTCTGTCCGTCAGGCTATTTCTGACTGCTGCCATTTCTCTGATTAGATTATGGAGAAACAGAAACCTGGCCCCTCCATCGTCCTATAACCTCCCTCTATCTCCCCTCGTTTTGCCTTCTGCTGCCTCTCTCTTCCCCTGCATCCTTCTTTTCCTCCCTTCTCTGCTGTCCATCTGTCTGTCTCTGCCTATCCGCCTCCTCCTCCTCCTCCTGCTGGATGAGTTAAACGTGTAAGGAGGATGCAGAAGCAGAGGATGGAGCATCAGCTCAGCGGCGTTACAGCCCCCCGTCCCACCCTCAGATCTGTGCGCTTTCCCTCCACTTCCTGGATAAGGCCGCGATGGTCTGCGTTGGAGTAGCCTCACAGAGGTGCAGCAGCCAGGTGGAGGTGCTGAATGATGAACGACTACTAGCGGCTCTCCCATTATCATATCTGTCTCCGCTCTTAACGGAGCATTTTCATCCATGTCCCTCCGCGCTCCGCTCCTCTCTCGTTCTCCCTGCCTCCCTCCGGCTCTCACTGTGCTCCCCCAGGAAGGCGATCGATTCCCCCCTCCATTATACCTCTCAGCTCTCGCTCTAAAGATGCGCCTCATTCATGCAGCCTGCAGAGCGCCGCAGTTTATCACCGAGCAGCAGTCCCTTTGGACGCACATGTTGCTTAAAAATCTCGACCCCCCCCCCCGTTCTAGAGACTGGATTTATTTCTGCTCTGTTATGATGACTGGGAAAACCCGCATAAAAGACACATTTTCATAAAAAAAAGAAGAAGAGAGAGAGGGTGGGTGGGTTGGTTGCTACACACCCGCCCGTCCTCCCCTTTTCTTTTAAAGAAAAGGAACAAATCCATTCTGCCTAATTCGAACCTTGCACAGGGACAGCTCGCGTGGCAGATTGCAGCCTAATTAGTTTAGAGGGAATTTAATTCAATTAACTTTCCACAGCTCCGCGCGCCCCGCCGCTGGGCTGCTTTCAGAGCGCGAGGCCAGAGCTCCAGATCTAATTAGCGTGTTTGGAGAAGCTCTCCTGCGCGCGGCCGTGCCTCGCTCCTCCAGCTGTGCTGCTGCTCCACTGCGCGTGCGTGTATGCGTGTGTGTGTGTGTGTGTGTGTGTGTGTGTGTGTGTGTGTGTGTGTGTGTGTGTGTGTGTGTGTGTGTGTGTGTGTGTGTGACACCGTGGTCTCCCGGGAGATGTTTTGCTTTTTCTTCTTTATCCCAAAAAGCTTCTTTTTTAAGTAACATGCCGGTGTCCATTAGGGTAATACAGGTCCGGTGCCGCAGGAGAGATGGACGCAGCATGTTGAATAACCGCAGCTGCTCTGCGTCATGTTCCGTCTGATGGATGCGTGTCCAACTCAACTTAAGAGCGGACTCGCACTCCCACCCACGTACACACGGAGATGAGTGTAATCTGATGGGCTAAAACGTGCATCTGGTTGCGGAAAAATAATTATTCTGGTTCCGATTTCTGTACAGGCCAACTGGCTTACTGATAAATCCCGGGAATTACATTTGTTGTACTTTTCCCGATTTCGTCGTTTCGTAGCCGTCTGCCGCAAGACATTTTTGTACCGAGCATGTCTAAATTTTTAACTACCAAGTGGTCGTTTCGTACCTGCTTCAATCCGATTTGCAGCAATTTCATGCTGTTAGGCGATGTGCTTACATGACTAATATGTTGTTTTGATTGGGGGCCATAATCTGTCATATTCTGTTTCATAAAAGTCAACTGGGAAGGAGAGGAGAACATGCAAATTGGGTGTGGTTGGTTTAAAGACTCTTTAGAAAATGCAACTAAATCAAAATGTATATCTGATTTGGTAAATGTGACTATTTAATTCGTGAAAATAATTAATTATGCAATGGTTAAAGTACATGTGTATGAAACTGTTTACAGACGAAACGAGACATTTGTTACAAAATGGCAAAGCGTGGGTACGAAACTCAAAAATATGTGAACTACCATATATATATATATATATATATATATATATATATATATATATATATATATATATATCTCCACCCCCGTCCTTTTTTTATATGTGTTTTTAGCGAGA